CAGCCGTCACACTGCAACTCGCTCTCCGCAGACCATGACATCAACAGCAAAAAAGAACCGCAAGATTATAAACCTCTAAACACAAATCTTATAAAATATAAATTGCACAAATACTGAACTTATGACAACAACAGAAACATAATAATGAAAACAACAGGAATGTAATAATATACAGTTATCAATACACCAGACTCCTTTACCACACCCAAAAAACACACACGCGCCTCTACATACGCAGTTAAAATACTCGCATTCACGCACACACACAGTGAACACCCATGTGAAGAGTGAGCTACATGCACACATACACACACACAGAGCAAACCACACCCAAAAGCAAAACTGCGCAGTTTAACACAATGTATATACAGTATATTTTCAGTGTATCTTTAGCTTGTATAAACCTTCAGTATAACACAATATACATTTCTAAGCAAACTTTTTCACATTTCAGAAAACATGGAGCAATTTACAACACATATGCACAACCAGAGAGCACTCTCACATCTGACCCTACGCATACACTTCTCTCACCACTAGAAGAGTTTGTCTCAACACACACACACACATAGGCCTGTATTCAAACACACACTTTAAGTCCAGACTTTTATTTAAAACTCTACAAGCGCTTGTAAGTGGGCTTTCACTATACTTGGCCAACAGGAACCGTATGACCGGTGCCCATAAGGACAGGCCAGGCTCGGACCAGCTGATCACTCCAGCCGAGACCTAGCGTCACACCCCTCGCAGTTAAACTACTTCAATTTATTACTCTCCAAACTGTTAAGTACACCAAACAAATTTAACTGAAAAGGTAACTATGAGGACGCAAGATTGTCTGCTCTTACAGATACTCTTATAATTTCACCTGTCACCTTAACATATGATTTAGCTTCTCCAAACAGTGTGACTACTCTTTGAGCTCCAAACTGCTGTAGACCCACTAGCAGTACAAAACTTGCTTTGCAGCCGTATCATAACATTTTTATTTAAATCCCTACCAGACACTCTTATTATTTATAGCTCACAATTTAGCTTCTCCAAACCGGTCTGTCATTTAGCTTCTCCAAACCATAAGTTCTAACACCCAATTGGCTGCAGTTTTCTCACTCATAAAACAACAACCATAACCAACACAATCACACAGTCACATAATTAGTAAGCGTTGATAAGTCATATATACAATGTCAAAGTCAGTACTGGTGATTCTATCTCCAGCCCTCTTTCACTTTTCTCTCCCTCTTTCTTTTTTTTCCCCAATGCACGCAGCTACTTGAAGGATAAACCAATCAGGAGATAAGTTTAGGTTTAAAAATTAACCTACCATCACTCAACACAGCACTCCGTAGGCACAGAGAGAGCCATTCATCAATTATATGAAAAAGTCAACCCACCTTTTTTCAGTGGCCACTTGTGAAAAGCCGGCTCTGTGCCCAGGAAGCCACTGCCAGGTGTCGGACCCCTCTGACCGGCTCCTACCACGCCAATGCCAGTCTGTCGGGGCAAAAATCAATACACAGGGAGAATCACTGCAGTGCCAATTATCATTTATTGAACAATATTTTATGATTATGATTGAGAGGGAGAGAAACAGGATCACCTGTGTCAGTCTGGGCCTCTGCAGAGAAAGTCAAGCTGTCAGTCACCAGTTCTAGTCTTCCCCTCGGGTCTTCACACACGCACCTGATCAACTCTGCAGCTAACTATATGGCCATTCCCCACTTCCTGTGATTGTCCAGATCTTGACGTCCAACCGGGCCCCCACCCTGGTTACACTTCTCTATTGTTGGGAACCCCCTGCACACTGTGCTAAACAACAGGAAGTTTGGCGCCCGATGTCCTTGCAGAGACTCGTACAAGGAGCAGAAAGTTCACCCTGACCATACTACATGTTGTGGATTTACTAATATTAACTATTAACTATATTAATAACTATTAACTATATTCTGATACTATTATGATTATATTCAGTTTGCTTTAACCACTACACCAGTGTGAATACGCTGATGGACTTTTAGATGCTCCAACCTTCGAAAAGCTGAGCCACACTGATAACAGCTGTACGGCTTCTCTCCAGTGTGAATACGCTGATGGACTTTTAGAGTCCCCAACTGTCTAAAAGCTGAGCCACACCAATCACAGCTGTACGGCTTCTCTCCAGTGTGAATACGCTGATGGACTTTTAGACTCCCCAACTGTCTAAAAGCTGAGCCACACCGATCACAGCTGTATGGCTTCTCTCCAGTGTGAATACGTTGATGGACTTTTAGACTCCCCAACTCGCTAAAACCTGAGCCACACTGATCACAGCTGTACGGCTTCTCTCCAGTGTGGATACGCTGATGGACTTTTAGATGCTCCAACCTTCTAAAACCTGAACCACACTGATCACAGCTGTACGGCTTCTCTCCAGTGTGAATACGCTGATGGACTTTTAGATGCTGCAAACGTCGAAAACCTGAACCACACTGATCACAGCTGTACGGCTTCTCTCCAGTGTGAATGCATTGATGGACTTTTAGATTCCCCAAATGTCTAAAAGCTGAGTCACATTGGTCACAGCTGTACGGCTTCTCTCCAGTGTGAATACGTTGATGACGCTTTAAAGACTGTGATGTTGAGAAGGCCTCGTCACAGTGCTGACAGGAGTGAAGCTCCATTCCGGTTCCTCTTCTCTGTTCCTATAGCAAGAGACAGACAAAGAGAGGGAAAGTGTAACTATGTAAAATCGAAAACACATATTTGCAGCACTAAGTCAGTTCTGTGACAGCCAGAGGGGCATGGGGTGGTACTGGCCTCTATAGAAACATGACTGATCCCCACAGATGCTCCTTTAACATTCTGAAATTACTGATTGTCATCCCCATTGCAGACTAGCATCAGGAGAAATGTAGGATCCAGAGATTTTGGAGCTTGAACCATAACACAGACCGAGTTGGTCGGTAGCTTGACCACTGTTACAGAGATTTCAAGCTTTTTAAATGTCTCTCCTGAGAGAAGTGTGTTCCTTTAATAGAAAATGGTCCTTTTAAGGACACAGTAAACTCGACACAAATTAGCTCGTATAACAGAAACATTTTTGCTCAAAATAATAGGTTCTCTATTTGTACAAGGGAAGCTGGTTAGAAAATATATAACATATCATTTAATGCCCTCTTCGTGTTTTTTAGGAGGATGGCATTGCAGGCTATGTCCCAGTGCTTCTTTAAACTTGGTTAATTTTTCAAGATTCTTTCTAGAGGTGTTATAATATTTGCATATAAAAATATTC